AACTGCCTGGCAGCACGTTCGGTGTGATACAGCACTGTCTTCAACTCTGTTTTCTCAGACATCAAGATTCTAATTGTCTGATTTGAACCTTCGGGAGAAAAGCCAATCAAGTGCTGAAAGAGAAGGAAAGAAACATTCTCAAAGGACAGGAGGGAACCTCACACCCTCCACTCACCTCTAACTGCCTCCCTAAAGCTCCCTGGTTTTGCTGGCTTTCTCGCTTTTCCTGTAGAAAGGAAGACAGCGCTCTTACTAGGGCAAGGCAGAGATGGCACAGCAAGGGACATGCCCCCAGAATGCCACCAATGCCCCAGGACAGGCCCACCCATGGGACCAGGTTATCAGGGACCCTGTGGGGATGGGGTGGAATCTGCAGGGTGACCCTTCTTCCCCAGGCTGGTAAGCAAGATGAAACTGGGGTCTCTACAGCTGAGTGACCCCCAAGCCCAGCAGTCATGTCGTGAGCAAACAAAGAAATCATGTTACATCTTCCAGTTGATCCACAATTTCTTGGTTCTGCTGTTTCTGTGGGAAGAGTAAAAGGAAGGTGATCGAGGGTGGCCCCCTCAAATTTATTCCCCAGACCAGGAAATGGTAGGCAGGGGCCAGGAATGGATTTTAAAGGCAAAGTTCTCAAACCCACTGAAACCATGAACTGGTAAACCCTCCCCTCAAGCTCCCAAAGACAGAGGATTTGGGTCTTTATTGTTTTTGCCCACAGCCACAGAACTGAAAGTCTGAATCTGGATTCTCTTGAAAGGACAGTAAAATAAACCTCTATGAGGCAGGGTCTGGAGGGAGGGTACCTAAGACTGTTTCACCATGACTTCCTAGAACTAAATTGAAAGGAAAACCCTAACTTTCCATGCCTAAGTAGCAAAAAGACCAGAGGCTGCTACCTTTGACCTTTTCTGCTAGGCAGCTGGGAAATTGGCTGTCCGAAACAAATCAGACTGATTGCTGGTTAAGTCCTCATTTGCAAAGAAGTATAACTTTGTAACTTCACCCTAGGGGCTGAGTGGTTGCTTTTTGCAACCAATCATATCATTTGCACAGGAATGTGACCTTTGTAACTTCACTTCAGCCTCTGGTTGGCTGCTTTCTGCAACCAATCAGACTGATTGTGGCTACCGTTTCAGTTACATGAGGTGAGCATGAAGTGGTCCAGGGGAAACTTCCAGTGGGTACTTGGACCCAAGAAGAATCTGTATCCGGGCCCTTGAGCTGCTGCTCAGGCCCAATCCCACACTGTGGAGTGCACTTCGGTTTTCAGTAAATCCCTGCTTTTGTTCTTTTGTTGTTTCGTTCTTTCCTTTCTTTCCAGGATGTTTCGGCCAATTGTTTTTTCAAAATGCCAAGAACCTAGACAACTTGCAGTCACGACCCTCTACCAGTGACATCTATAGATGGAGTTTGAGAAAAGCCCATCCTTCTGCCAGCTTGTGATTTAGAAAGGTGCATTCACTCAACATTTACTCAGGACATATGAGCTAGGGATATGGCCCATATCTTCACAGCAGCGATATAGGATGGAAAAGGACAGGCAGGAGCCTTTGGCCCTGAGGTTTACATTCTAATGGATCTTTAAATCTTGGATACTCACAGCTCATAGAGACCTTTGATACTCTCTACCTCCTCAGGAAACGCAAGCCCAAGAAGGAAAGGTGGCTTATCTAGAATCAAAGAGTAAATTAGGGACTGAGCCAGGGCAGAAATTCAGAGCTCCTGACAACCAGTCAGCCTAGCTTCCCTGAGAGGCAACAATTCTAACGCATGTGTGGCAAGTACTGGCGCAGGGGTGTCTGGATAAGACACAGTAGGCAAAGAGAGCAGCAACAGAAGAGCCATGATGCATGCCCCATGTTCTGGGGTCCCTCCAGCTGAGGCCTGGCCTCCCCAGATCCCCATTTGCCCTTGGCACCAGGGGCCCCCAGCCCCTTTCTTCAGGGCCTCAAGGGGAAACTGGAGCCCAGGATTGGCAGGGTGGAACCTGGGGACCCTACTGGACTCATACTAATATCTCCATCGTTCTATTGAGTTGACTGTTTGTTAGATAGCTAGAGTCTAGGATACTGTTGGTTGTCGGTGTAGGCTCTTGAGATCCATGCAGAGAGTGGGAGTTGGAGGAGGATTGGGGGAGAGACAGAGCAATCATTAGGGCTGGGGGCTGTATGGGCTGTCTCAGCAGCCAGAGGGGCACCCAACCCTTGCTGTGGGAGGAGGTTGGAGGCCTGGCCTAGGGGGTCACTGCACCTTGGCCCAGCGCTTCTTACCTCCAGCTCCTTCAGGGTAGCGATGATGCACGGCCCTCTGTGTGGATACCTGTTGCTGACTACAAGAGACAAAAGTGCACATGGAGATGTTCTGTCCCCCTCAGTGTCTAAGCCCTCTGACTTCCTTTCTTCCCCAGCAACTGGCAACATTTTCTTTTCTGCCTATCTTGGACCTTTCATCCCCTAACTCTTTTGTATCAACTTCTTTCATGGTTCTTATCTCTCCACCATCCGTTTCTTCTGAGCAGCTCTCATCTGTTGCTTCTGCAGCAAGATAAAATAATGAAATCAGTCATGTGGTCCAACTCCTTCATGTGAACAGCTTCAAGGGAGAAGGCTCAGGAAGAGGCAACTTCCTCAATATCGCCCAGCAAATGGGCTGCTCCCAGGATCTGACCTCTCTTGTGAATCCCTGCCTCAGTTTCTATCATACTTTCCTTGCCCCTGCACCCTACTCCATGCTTCAATTTCTGAGGTACCTCAGAAAACAACACAATTGAGCTGTAGGGAGAGTTACTGCAGGCTCTTGGTCAATGAGAAAGTAGTCCTAGGGGTGGAGGCATGGGTCGGGGTGCAGGTGGCTCAATGGGAAAGAAGATCATGGGCAGTGGCCTCCCAGACTCCCTCGGCCTATAGACTGCTGCTCCAATAGGAGACACTCACTTGGTTTTATCTGTAAGATTAGGGCCATTGTCAGCATCATGATTCTGTGTAGGAAGAAACATATAAGATAGTCATTCAATTTCTGGTAAGAATCACCCGGGGTGGGGGGGTGAGCCAAGCTCCCAACTCCCCAGACCTTAAGGAAAAGCCCAGTCTCAGCCTTCTCTCAGCCTTCCCCCAGCCAACAAGCTACCTGTGAGATAGTGAGACCCCATCTAAGTTCTCACTATGTTGCCCAGGCTGGTCTCAAACTCATGGGCTCAAGCAATCCTCCCACCTTGGTCTCCCAAAGTGTTGGGATTACAGGTGTAAGTCACTGCTCCTGGCCTATTGACTGTGTTTCTGATTCAGGCCTTTTCAGGGAAAAAAAGCTGCC